AACATATGTAAGAACTAACAACTAGTATTTGGTACAAACAGAGAAATTTGCAACAGAGAATTGATTAGAGCCCCTAAATTGTTTGTAACATCAAAAATAAATCTGATTTTCATTCCATGTATAAACTTAGTTTCACTATTTTCATAGTCCTCAAAATTCTCATGGGAAGTAGTATTTCTTTTGTCTTAGAGAAATATGAAAAAATTGCATATCATCTTAATTCTACCAAACTCTTATGATCATACTAAATATCTTGATCAAGAGTGAAAAATTGTCTATAAAAGTCAGGCTACTTGGCTATGAGAAAAAAAATGTATATAGTTTTTTTCTTTCTTTCTTTCTTTCTATCTTTCTTTCTTTCTTTCTTTCAATAATCAGGATAGGCCTTTTTATGTTACTTTCCTAAGAATGCATTGTGCTAAACTAACTGACATTGCTTTTAAAATGAACATTATATGCATGCAGTTAAGTCCATTATGAAAATAGGAGATGTTTTCAAATCAGAAAATAATAAATTCAAGTGTGTAGACATCACTTTCAATAGCCTAAGATTATCTGCCAATATATGAGCTTCAAATGTACAGGAGGTACTTTGTGATTGCCTTGCAGAACATATAGATATATTACCAGGTCAAAAAATATGACCAGAGTCCTGATCATTGATAGCTAGTATTTTACTATCTTTTAAGATATAATTAGATTCTGAATGGTTACATACATGAATACTCTCTCTCATATGTTGAATTTTTATGTGCACAATGAAATTTTGTTACAATCAGATGATAGTTATGGAAACTGAGCTTAATTTTGCTTGATTTATAAAAGGATACATTAATTTCTATCTCAGTGGCTTTGATTGGGAGAGGCATGATGAAATGAGATAAATCATGAAAGGTTCTACAAAGAAAGTAGAGGCATATATAGTTGGTTAAGTAAGGCAGAACTGCATATTAGAAAAAATGGGGTTTTCAAGTTCAGTTAAGAAAACTCATGTACTGTTCACAATATCAAAATGCTGTACTTTAAGAATGCTTACTCATTAATTGTATGATCCATAATTTCATCTCAATGTAGGAATTGTGCTCAAATGAAAGTGTGCTGATGTGAGTGTATGTATATATATGTTTTGAGAGCATGAAGTGGTACTGTGGAGACAGGACTATGTCTATATTTATTGTTAAATGCTCCCTCATCCTGGTCAAATTGGATGTGCTCCAAGTATAGTCCAAACATCAAGAATCATCATTAATAATACTTCTATTTCCCTCAATTGTTATTAAGGAACAGAATATCTCTGTCCTCTATTTCAGAATAACATGAAAATATATCAGTAGCTATGCAAAACCCTTGCTCTAGAAAATTGCTGTAGAATACCAGGGGGTTAGATTTAGCCTCATCTACTAGTACTTGACTAAATGTCATATGGTTAGAAAAGGAACATAAGAATGAAGAACATGAGCCATACAGAATTTTTCTACACATAATTTAAAATTCTTTCCAGTAAAAATCACATTTATCCAAACAATAAAAACAAAATAAAAATCAAATACAAAAATTGGTGATTACTACATAGTCAAGTTCAGAATTGTCTAATATTGTAATGGTAGAATGTGAATCATCACTTATTTATGAAGGCTAAAAGACAAAATTATTAAAAATAATAGCTGAAATAATTTGTCAAGATTTGCACTAATCATCAGGAAAATGACAAAAAATAGTGATAGTGAGATATCTATTACCTTATGTTCGATAGAATGACTATTATTAACAATTAACAATGTTATTTATTAACAATGATAACAGTAATAAATTTTGGTGAAGCTGTGGAAAAAAGGGAGTGATCCTATATATTCAGCAGGAATGCAAATTTGATAGTAGTCATGGACAAAGCATGACAATTCTTAAAAATTAAAAATGGAATTATTATATGATCCATGAATTACATTTCTAAATTTATGTAAAGCAAACTTAAAATCAATGAATGAAGGTATAACTACACTTGCTTGTTCATTGCAGCAGTATTCACAATTACCTAAATCTGGCATCCAATTAAGTATCCATCAATGAATGAATGAATAAAGAAAATATAATATAAATACACACAATAGAATATTATTCATTTTCTGGAAAGAAGGAAGTCCTGTCATTTTCAACAGCACAGATTTTGTTAAGTGAAGTAAACAATGTACCGAAAGAGAATTGTTGCATCACATTTATATGAAGCATCAAAAATCTTTGAGTACATGGAAATAGAGAGTAGAAATGTGGTTACCAGTAGATAAGGGGCCTGGAGGTGAAGAAAATATTTATCACAGGATACAAATTTCAGACAGAAAAGACAAATTCAAGAGTTCTGTTGTATAACATGGTAAATTCAGTGTGATTCCATTAAAAATCACTAATAGAGTCAATTTTAAGTCTCCTTACCAAAAAAAATTGTTTGTGAAATACATGTTAATTAGCTCAATTTAACATGCATGAGCTATACACATATACATGTATCTAAACATCATGTTGTACCTAATAAATACACATAATTTTTAATTGTGAAATAAAGAATAAAAATAAATTTAAAAAATCATTTCTGGAGCTGGATATACAGCTCAGTTGGTAGAATGCTTGCTTTGCATACACAAAACTATGGATTCAATCCCCAGCACCACAAAGAAAAAGAGAAATTATTTCTGAGAGTGACCAGGAACAAACAAAAAAGATGAAAAGTATTTTTCTCAAGGTGACAGTTAAATTAACCTATGTTTTATACATTAAATATTATTTTATGTAGCATTTAACACATATGTACATATGTGCTTGTGTGTATATACACAGTAATGCATATCTATATACCCATACAAACTTTTCATTCTCTCCCTACATGTGAAATGCTCAAGCCTTTGTTAAGTTTTGTTATTTTTTAATTTTCTTTGGAGTTATGCAATTTAGTTTATTAGTACTGGTGAATAGCTGTTTGTTTTTCTATTGAGAATAAGTGTCATGGCTAAATTTGAGTTAGTCAACTTTGTTTAGAATTATAAAAAGCTTTTTAATTCACATTATTCCTTGGACTGAAACTAGAAAACCCTGTCTTTACGGTTTTAGTTAGGAGCCAAACACTTAAGGAACATTTGGAAGCCTGTGACCTCTTTATCACAGGCTTCCAAAATGACTGCAAAATGAAAATAAAACTATTTCTTATGGTTTAGATCTGAGATGACCCCCAAAGCTCACAAATGAGACAATACAAAAAGGTTCAGAGGTGAAATGATTGGGTTGTAAGAGTCTTAACCCAATCGGTGATTTAATCCTGATAGGGATTAACTGAGTGGTAATTCAAATGGTAGGGTGTGAGTGAAAGAGGTGGCAATTGAGGCATGGCTCTGGTGTATATACTCCTATCTGGCAAGTGGAAATCTCTTTCTCTCTGTTTCCTGATCATGAAGGAGCCATTTTCCTCTGCAGCTGAACCCAGAGGAATGGAGTCTGCTATCTCTGGATTGAGACCTCTGAAACTGTAAGCACTCAAGTAAACCTTTCCTCTGCTACAATTGTTTTGGTTGGGTCCCCAAGTCTCAGCAGTGAAAAGGCTGACTAAAACACTAATATTTATATCAAATAAATTTATATTATTAGAAAAAATAAGAAAAGAGAAAAAAAGAACAAGAAAAACCCAGACAGAATTCAACTGTGATCATTTAACCCTTTGTAGCAGTCCCTGAATGAAGCCTTTGGGTCAAAGTGAAGCAGCCCTTCAGTCAGTGGCACTTTTAAAACATTTCACTGGTCCATATGTTCTTTGAAGAATTTTCAAGTGTGAATTTGTTTTATTGGTTTTAACCATGTTGTCTAATAGTGGTCGTAAAGTTTTAGGAGGGAAAGAAAAAACAATTATTTTGAAATAGTACCCAGATTTAATCTTTGGAAGATAATAATAACAAAAAATCAAAAGAGATAAAATCTTAACAATTTTTGTTTCTTTTACAATTCTAATTTGTGTTCCCTTATTTTTGTTTATGTTTGCTAGATTCTTTACAGGATCAATTTAGCTGGATATAGCACAAGATAGACCAGGTGAGAAAGCATATAAGAATGTTGAAATGGGATTTTAAAAAAGAGAGAATTTTTTTTAAGCAGTGTCTCATTATGTTGCCCAAGGAAGTTCTTAAACTCATAAACTCAAGCCATCTTCCTACCTTAGTTTCTCAAGTAACTAAGACTATGGACATTGCACCATGAAGCCCACTTCCATAGTTAGCTTTGTCTTTATCTAATAGCTACTATAGGATGGATCTGTTATGCAGTCAATTGATCATAACCTAGATGAGCTGCCAGTAACACTATTGGATTGCACAAAATAATGGGATAAATTAATAGAGAGAATAATGGGAGTTTCCTGAGGCCAAGACCTTCTAAAACTATCTTCTTTTTATCTATGTTTTCAAGTGCATGGATGTTTTATACTAGCAAACGCTAGGCTTTCTTGAGGTTACAGAAAAATCTTGGGTTGTTGTCACTTCTTGTACTTCAATTATCATGATCAAACCCTATGCCTACATAGGATGATAAGTTCAGAAACAGAATTCTATGACTATATCAGTCTCATTGCTATAAACTGCCACACATGACAAAATAATGGAGTCTGTTCTGAGTGGTTTTAGCTGGAATAGGCAAAGCATAACCAGAGGCAAGAAGATTGAATTCAGTTACATTTTGGGATATTTATTTGGTTTCATCATGAAGCTTCTAGTCTGGAGCTTGCACATATTTCATGTGTGTGCATCTCTCTCTCTCTCTCTCTCTCTCTCTCTCTCTCTCCTGTGTGTGTGTGTGTGTGTGTGTGTGTGTGAGATGCTTAAGGCCTAATTTAATTTTTTAAGTGCCTGTTTTACTTAAAAAAACCTTTACCTTAAAATTTCAGTGATTAGGAGTCTACAATATTCAAAATTATATTTTATCAATAAATTTAGTGAATAAATTATGATGTGATTTATAAATGTTCTTACCTTTACATCTTTGACATTCATCCTTGTTCCCTCCTTCCCAACAAAGATGTCATCAATGTCCACAAGGATGTACCTATCCAAGGACAATGTCAGCCTCTTCCCTGACAAGAAGGAGATGGCATCTATGAAGATGAGCTTGTGTAACCAAAAGTTCAAATTGTTGCCAAAAAGAACTCGCTGAATTCCATCATGAAGACCTAGGTCCTGAATTACAGTCGCATAGAGTATTTTGCTAGACAAGGGTGATGGGGATTTTTCCGTCTGTAATTCAGTTAAAAGGACAGGCTGGTAGGTTGAATGATTATATTGGAAAACAGTCCAGTCTTCCCCAGGAAGAGGACCTTTCCCAACCTTGGGGGCTTTGGTAATATGCAGCAAAGGAGACTGAGGATTGACAAAACAGTCCTTCAGAGCTAGATTATTGAAGAGGTTTAGTGGAAAGCCTTTCAATTGTGTACTTGGCAAGATGTTCTCATTGGCTTTATGAAAACCGATTATACTAACACTGTATTCCACACAGTATTTTTCTAAAAGCTCTCGGTTCCATGAGTCCATGCTAACATACTTCAGGATATTTTCATAAATAACTAATGTGTACTTCCCTTTGCCACTGTCTGTAAGGGGAGGTATATCTCCCTTGCCAGGGGCAATGACCATGTGGTACTGAAATCGGCTGGACTCCAAGATAGCTATGATATCTTGACCGAGTTGAGAGTACTGGCTCTCCACAAAGAGGAGGATGGTAGGGTCAGTTTTGGATGTATCGATAGGTTTCACTGTTTTCAGCTCCATTGACCGATAAGGTAGAATTTTGATGTCAGCACATTCTGCTTCTGCAGTGGTTTCAATAAGGGCCATTTCCTGCTTGTAGCCAGAGTAGAGGAAATAGGCAGAAATGACAATGCTCACCAAGCAGAAGGTAGCTAAGAGAACAATCAGTGTTCGAAAACTTCTCCGAAGCTTCACAATGAGATTCATTTTTTAAAATAATGCTTTGGAAACTTTTTCCAACTTCTTTTCCTTAAATTGCCATAGTAAATAAGGTATGAGATGGTGCAAATACCACTTCCCAAAAGTTCATGTAACCATTGCAAATCATGTAAAATATTTGAAGGGATCAAAAATGAGTTAAAGCTGGAAGGCAGTGAAGCAGGAGAGCAAAAGTTGAAGGGATTTTGAATATGTCCAATACCAAGAATTGCTGCAGAATCCTCTAAGCATTATCTGAAAAAGAGGATAAAAATAATAACCAAGAAAAATAGGAATATAAGTATTTATGTTTACATATATGCTTGTATTTAAGAAATATATATTCAAAGATAATATTAGTCTGTTAATATGCTAAAATATTAATAGCATGATGTTTATAGTCTAGAATTTATTACTTAGAATAGATTTCTCCATGTTCTCCAGAGTGCAGAACCAAAATATTCGTATGTATATAAGAACACATAATGAGATCACGTTTCAACTGGTTCTCTCAAAATAGAAAAAGATGAGAAAATAAGCGTTAGTTTAAAATGTTAATTACCATAAAAATTGCTTCCTCAGGACCAGTAAACATTATAGATATATAATGTTTATATCCTATAGATATATAGGATTCGACAAGTAAGTACTTGTATGGGGCTTGGAGCAGAACAGCTTTTAAAGAATCTGCTTAAGTCTCTTTAGTGCCAAGCTAAGGGAATGATTTGTGTCTTACATTTTTAGCAGATACATTTTTTCCCTTTAATAATATATTCTCCATCTAGCCTCACAGAGACCCATGTGGTATATGTCCAAATATAGATAGGATTGACCCTATCCATTCCTAAAGGGAAAGTGAAAGAGACAATATAGGAAAAAGAACAAAAAAGGAAACAAGCATCTTTAGATCCCTTTAGTGAAACCAAGGCTAAGAAGCCAAGACCAGAAGAAAAAGCTTGATTTTTCTCAAAGCACATTCTTAATTAGCCTTAATCCAATGATCAAAATTTAGAACTGAATTTTCCATTGTTAATTTTCATTCAAAAATCAAACATATGTGTGCCCCTTAGTTCAAAAGAAAAATAATGTAGAAAGCAAAAACAAAAAACTTTCCCAAACTGCTTCATCACAAGTAGATATGACAGCCCATTACTATTAGATTCTTTTCTTTGTATGTATGAAAGTGAATTTAATGAATTTCTTTCTAAACAAATTTTCTTCAGGGCCTCAAAAGTGTGGTAGAGTGCTTATTTTTTTTTCATTTTCAAATTTGCCAAACTAATATCCCTAGAAAAATATCCCAAATAGTTCATGCTATTAGTTTTTGACATATACATTGTAGAAGTATGTCTATGATATACCATGTCACAGAGTATCAAATTTACACGTTTTGCTGTGAGTCATGTATTCCATGGTAAAGAGCAAAGTTTTTGGTTTCCGTATTTTATTTTTTAATTTATTGAGCTGAGTGATTCATGACTATTAAAAATTTATGTCTATTAAATAAAATGAAAATATTGCTTTTTTAAATGTTATGTTCTAAAATGAAGTTTTATTTGTTAGTAATTTAATTTTTTAAAAAAATCAACAGTAAGTTGAAATGATTGTGTTTTTTACCTTAGATTTTCTTTTTCTTTTTTTTTTTGTAGTTTATATGGATACAATATCTTTATTTTGTTTATTTACTTTTATGTGGTACTGAGGATCAAACCCCATTGCCTCACATGAGAGAGGCAAGCTCTCCACTACTGGGCTACGATTCCAGCCCTTTACCTTAGATTTTGAGACAATATTTTAAAATATTCTCAGAAGTTCACTATATGAAATTTCAAAATTTCTACCATATATTTTAAATATTTTAATTTGCAGATTCCAGATATATAAACAAATGTGAATTTTTCCCTATGAAATGTAGTGTGCCAATGAGAAATATTTTAAAGGGAAAATTATTTCTGCATGTTGGGGACTTACTGACACTGTTTCAAATAGAGTTTTTTAAGATAATTATTTTTTCTCCCAAAGCTTTTTAAATGTTTCAGTCTTTTTAAGTAAATCAATTGAATTCTACTAGAACAAAATGAAACATGGCAATAAAAAGACTTTGGTAAGTTTTAAAATATTTAAACCAATTATTTTATATCTTTTTGTGTACTTTTGAAATGTTCACAAATAAATTTAAAATATACAATTAAATTAAATATAAAAATATACATATATAAATATTGGAAAAAAATTGGAATTTGTCAAGAGTCATTATCCAATGTTATATTGCATCCATTTCTAGACTTCTAGTAGTGCATGTATATGATTTAAAAGTCCACCTAAGCAAACCCAGAAATGGCCCCCATCCCAGTCACATTCCAAATGGTCTCACAAAAGCAAATATCCACTTAATCCACAAATGTTGGTAATTTGTTTAGTATTTTTAGAATAAATTTAATCAATAGATTTATAAAAAAGTAAATGTATAAGTTAATATTTCATTAAAGCATTACCTATTCCGATATAAAAATGTGATCTTTTGAATCATATGATCTTTTGAATACAAAAAGTACAAGATGTCAGTTTTGCATATTAGAACATCTCTTCCTAATATGCAATAGTGAAAAAGAAGGAAAAAAAAGCATATGGGACTAGAATCTGCCAACCCAAAGAATAAGTAAAATTTAAATGTGACATTTATTTAACATTAATATGTTAGAATTAGAAGAATGACAGATACATATTATCACAACAGTAGATAAGTGTGTTCTCAGCATGTGTGTGTTTTAACTTAAGGACTTATCCTCACCATTCAAATTTTTTATTTCTCCTTCCTTAAAAAAAATGGCTATTAGAGGTACAGAAGACTGGATCATAAAAGGTGATACACCAGCAGTGTTTACTTATATTCCATATCTGAGATAAAAAATGGTAAAGGACATCGGAATGCCAAAGACATAGTCTGCTTTGTTTCCATCTCTTACCTAGTGTCTTATCTCCTAAAAAAGAAGAAGAAAAAAATCAAGTTAGGGGATGGGGGTAGGTCAAGAGTAACCAATGTAAGACTCTTCAGTTGTCAATGGAAGTCAAATGAAACAACTGAGATCATTTTTCAAAAAAGACACACAAGTTAAATGAGTCAGATAAAATTAATGTCATTTATTTCAGGATAATAATGAAGACATTTGAAAAAAAAAAACTGCCCCAGAAATATAAAAACATGTAGCACATGATCTTAAGGACACTAAGGTAATATGCTAAAATTTTTATTTTATCTTAATCCAATGCTTTCTGCAGGATGAACCTGAGACCAGTTAGCAACAAATGGAAACATATGGGAGCTCTTTCCTTTCCTTTCACAGTGATGTCAATATTTTTATTATAGAATGTTTAGATAGTGTATGGCTTATTGAGTAAATTTCGTGTATGGAAAAAAATAGTTTTTCCTTAAGCAGCACACCAAGTAAGTTAAATAGGCTTTGGTCCTAATTTTATAAATCTGACCTTTCATGTATTTGAATACTTCTGTTGTTAATTATTTGGAAAGGGAGACTTGCTATTGGTCATAACAACCTTTCCCAAAATGGGTTGCAAGATCCCTGTGTTGAGTCTGGTGAGGAGAAGAAGGCAAGAAGCTGAGCTCTTTGTTCTCACTCTTGGTTTTTATTTGCTTTGTTTTACATTCTAGCCTTCCAAGTGTCATTCATTCCTCAGTAGTAGTAGAATAAATATATCCCAAAAGTTTTAACTTTTAAAATTAAATAATATAAACATATTATTGTTTTGTATATCTATTTTAACATCAGTCCTTGACTTATTTTCAAAATGTGTTCAAAGATTCTCTAAAATATAGTTTGCAAAATACACTTGCCAATGTTTCTAAATCATTGTAAATCTTTTGTCATCTCTGGAAGCAGCAAGGAAATTAATATACAAAGCAATTATAAATACTATTATAGCTGTTGTTGTGTTTCACCCCTTTGGAAAAACAGAAATTCAGATGAAATCTAGGGGCTATAATTGTTAATATTTTTAAGTGGTTTAATGAAATCACCAAAGTTCAGCTGAAACTTTAACAATAATAATATTTACTATCATTTAACTACTTGCTAATAACTATGCTACATTCTTTGCTCTCCTAATTCTGTTTAATCATTAGCCCATTTTTAAAATGAGGAAATTGAGATTTAGAAGGTTTACAAAAGATGCTAGAGTAAACTACTAAATAATTGTGATCCTGGGCTGGGGTTCTATGTTCTTCCAGTTGAGAAAAATCAACAAATTAGATGAAGCCAACCATTTGCCACTGAGCGTAATTAAATAATTTAACCACATCAGCAAGTTTTATTTCAAGTTTATAAATTCAAACATTCAAAGATAGAAATGTCTACCAAAAATACAGAAAAAAATATAGAAGCGGATCAATATAAAAAAATGCTATTTATGAGTGGGGAAGACCTAAACATTTGCTGTAATTTGACCAGTTTTGACTTTTCCCGGTACCTAAGGGAAGAATATTTGATCAATTACTTTGTTTCTACATATTTCATGAGTGTTTGTTTGCTCTCAGAAATCATGTAAAGAATTGACTCTTATCTCACACTAATGAAACAGTTTTTTTTAAATAAAAATCTGTAATATAAACATTTAACCCTTTGTTCCCATATATCAGCAGTACTTTGGTGTGAGTTTCCAAATTTATAATTCTCTTACAAGGAAATGTTATATTTTTCAAATCACAGGTCTCCAGTACATAAATGAAATGAAATAAACAGAATAGACACATTGACATATTTCAAGTACTATAAGTATTCTATTATAAATCTTTAGCTTGTTAGTTGTGTGATTTTACATGTGTGTATATGTGTATCTGGATCCTAATATAAGTTTATTTTTTATGCTGGGTCAAGTACGTTTGAGAAACAGTAATCAAGAGGGAACAGATGATTCAAAGTATTTAACATCGTTTTAAGAATATTATAAATATATGATAGGTTTTAGCTAAAAATCAATGTGGTCTCTTAATTCTGAGTAGTTTCTGAAAATACTCTGAATTTATTCAATAGAAATTAGGTCTAGGTTGATATCAACTGGTTTAAATCCTTGGAAGTTCCTTTCAGCTTCTAGGCCACACTATATTCTGATATTTTTTCAAGCAACAACAACAAATTTTACACTTACATAAATCACAACTTATTTTTTTTCCAAAATGAAGGTACAAAGTCATGAGTAACTGTTACATTTAATCAGAATCAAATTAGCATGCTACTTTATGATATTCTGAAAAATAATCTTTTCTACTCCTGTAAATAACCAGTTGATTATCACCTAACTTTTATACACTTCATATTTTCTTGATTTTAGTGACATAACATAAATTTCTTTTAGTCCCCAAAGTGTATATTTTTACCAGTACAAGCTCCTAAAAGTGTCATTTCAAACATAATGATGACATTACCACCCCTATATTATATTGTAACATAATATTATACTAGGTACATAGCTCTGAGCTATCAGCTATGTTCACACTTCAAAAGATTATAAAGGCAACTCAGTAAATAGAAGAGTAAATGTCAGGAGATTTCTTTTATCTCCATTTTCTGCAGTTACATAAAGTGCCTATTTACCATTTTCTTAGGTCTTGTTTTCTAAAGCAGGGCACAACATGATTTTTAAAAGAAAGGGTGCATTTTTATTAAAATCAAACTGCAAATATCGATGTATTCATCTTGTTTATTACAAAAACATAAGGACCTTGAGAATAGACACACCTGCATAGATGTTGGTTCTGCTTTGCCATATGAAATTTATTCATTTATTTGTTTAGAATTAGGGATTAAACTCAGGAGTCCTTAACCACTGATCCACATTACCATTCCTTTTTATTTTTTTTTTTTATTTTGAGACAGGGTTTCACCAAGTTTAGAGACTTGCCGAGGCTGGCTTTGAATTTGTGATCCTCCTGCCTTCCGAGCTGCTGGGATTACAGGAGTGCAACACCATGTCTGGCAGCCATACAAAATTTAGATATGAGGGCAGAAATACTATCTGCAGCCAAGTTTAGAGGTCTAGCAATCACTGCTTGAAACTTGTCATTTGTTTTTAAAATTAAGATTTTATCATTAACTTCAACCCTTAACATTACTGAAATGATAATCATATCTCCAGAATGTATGGGACAGAATTAAATAGACTTAAAAATTTTGGGATGCCTGTATCTGTCCTAAGGATTCCTGAATCTAGACGATTCCCTTAGAACCTAGAGATGACTCTGTGATAGATCTCAGCCATTTGTCTCATTTTGTATAGATGTGGAATAATATTTTCAGTGTGACATTCAGAATCAAAAAAGAACCAGATAGGCTATCTAAAATTCAGTTTGGTCTTGGATTTTCTCCTGCTTTTTCTTTTATGTGAGAAATAAATCCATTCATCTAGCATCCATTGAACAAATAAATGTATGAACATTTATTAAGATCCTACTATTTGCCAGGTAAATTTGAAAATTCAACTCTATCTCATATGGTCACCAAAAAACCTAAGTTCTTTTGTTTTAATCTATTTCTTTTCTTTATTTACTATTTCTCTTTAATTCCTGAAAGTCCTTTTTTTTTCCCTTTGCCAGTGGATGGGTTTTAAATTACTGACTTAAAGCTTGTGCTAATGGATTTAATGTGAAGAATGTAGGCATTAATCAGTCAATCTATGCAGCAATGTTTCCATTTTGTATCTCATTTTTCATTTTCCTTTCTCTCCATGTGAACAGTTTATATGGAAGCTACAAAAGGTGACTGAAGAATACAATATTATGGTACACCTTCTTGTTTAGATATAATCTTATTAGCAGTTTTCTCTTGAAAGCAGGCTCTTTTGTATAATTTGTCCTGCTTAACAAAGTGATTTTAAAAATAGTTTTAAAATCTCATACTACTTTTTTTTTTCTTAACAAAATGTGGGTGTATTTCATACAATGAAATCAGTGGGAAAGTTTTAAAACCCAGAAATTTAAAAATAAAATAAATAATGCTTAATGCATGTTTTTATTCTGGTACTTACTCTATATGCATTTTTGTTGTGGTTGTTTGTTTATTTTGGTACCAAGGGGGCTTAACCACTGAGCCAAGTCTCCATTCTTTTTTAAAAATTTTATTTAGAGACAGAGTCTAACTTGCTTAAGGCCTTGCCAAATTGGTGAGGCTGGCTTTGAATTTGTGATCCTCCTTCCTCGGCCTCCCGAGTTGCTGGGATTTTAGGTATGTTCCACAGTGCACAGCTGTAATTTGATTTTGTATAATTGTGATCACAAAGAAAATATAACTTTTCTCTCACCTTTTTTGAAATTATGACATAACTAGTTATAGTAAAAGGGCCATAATTAAGAACTCCTTATATCCATCATTTTCTTTTTTCTATTACAATCTCTCCTGACTTGTTATATTTTGATGATTTTCCCAATATTCTAAGCCTGGTAACCCCACTATCCAACAGTCTGCTTTATAAAGGAAAAAGAAAATGAGGGTTAAATGACTCCAAATCATCTAAAGAGAGAAGCTGAGCCCCTCCCACTAGTGTATCCCAAACCCAAGGAATTTTCTCTGCACTTCACTTGTTTCCTGATAACATGGAAAACGTGTATCTCTTCCTAATACCAATCTTTTCCTTTTACCCCTATCGTTTCTCCTGAACTTCAACTTTTATCTTATGGGGAAGTTTATTCAAAACTTAGAAAGAATGATTTGTTACTAATTGAACATAAAGAGCACCTACTTATATTTAATTTGGTAATAACAATATTTTACTATCTGCCTGTCTTTTGTGTCAACTGCTCACTCATTACTCCTAGTTTATTGGCCTGGGCCTGGTTTTATTTCAGGTTTAACTCACTCCCCAAACTTCTCACCACACTCACCCCTACCTCCAGTACAAGCAACTGCTTTAACTTTAACCATTCTCTTCAAGTTTAAGAGTCAAGTTTTCTGGAAAAATTCCCTCTTGA